GAGTTTTAACCTACTACATGCTTGTGTTCCTGAATATATCTTTTGTACTTGTAATTATATTTCAACTTTTGATTCCTCCTCTGTCTCCTCTGTCTCTGTCTCTCTCTCTCCTCTCTCTCCTCTTCTCTCTTCTCTCCTCTCTCTCCTCTCCCCCCCTCTCTCACACACACACATACATTCACACACACTCACATAAACTCACACACCTGCAGACAATATAATAAAATCAAAGATATACATGAAGTAGTTAGGAAATATTTTAGGATGTAATCAACAATTCATTAGTGGACACTGGCTGACTATTATTACTTTGCTTAAACTTCATCTCTTTATCTTATCCTCCCAAATACCATTTTTTCTTTTATAGACAATCACTTTTTTAATTACAGTTTTTGTACACATATATGTGAATGCAAATATATATACTCATCTCATTTTACTTTAACCCAAGGACTTGGGCAAACACTCTACCCTTGACCTCTATCACCAACACTCTCCTATTCTTTTAAAAGAAATATAGCTTCTTCTGCTTCTTGATTTTTCACTCTTTATTGGGCATATTTGTACAACAATGTAGGTCTTTATATATATATATATATATATATATATATATATATATATATATATATAATTTTGGTTTTACGAGCAGGGTTTCTCTGTATTGTTTTGGAGGCTTTCGGTCCGGCCCAGCCTTGAACTCACAGAGATCTGCCTGCCTCTGCCTGCCGAGTGCTGGGATTAAAGGTGTGCCCCACCACTTCTCGGCTATATATTTTTTACATACCCATAGCACACTATCATGTTCTACCACTATTATATGTTCAACTAATTATTTATTTGTGAGTAATTGGATTCTTTCTAAATCTTACAATATGTAATAATGTAGCAAAAAAGTTTTTATATGTGCTATTTTCATGTTTGTGAAACAAGAATTTTAGAAAATAACATCTCTTTAAAAATGAATATGAAATCTAATTGTTTCTGAGAATAGATTGATATCAAGATTTGAATGATAGCAAGCCCAAGCCCTTGCCATCTTAGGATCTGTGCAATGCGATATTCATGTATCTCATAAAGCACCTTTCCATTCCTGTAGCCCCAAGACCCCAGAATGTGAGTGCTTCAATATGGGAGCTCCCCAGAAAACTAGATACATGTATTCTATACTACCCCATATCACTCCACAGTGATTTATGTCCTATTATAGAGGCACTTGCATACCCATATTTATATAAAATGTATTCACACGACCTAGAAAAATGGGATCAGCTTACATGTCCACCATCTCATAAGTGGATGATAAATATGTGGCACCATCTCATAAGTGGATGATAAATATGTGGTGCATATACACTGGAATTTTGTTCAGATACAAAGAAAAATTGTGAAATTTAAAGGTAAGTGGATAGAGCTGATAATAAATACTCTGAGCCAGGTAACTAAGACTCGAAATACAAATACCATATGGTTACACATAATGAAAGAAAATAGCTTTAAAATTACACACATATATGTTTCAATTGGAGTACCCAGAGAGGTCAGGAAACTAGTAAGGTGTTATGTTATGGGATTTCAATGGAAAAGATATAAAAAGCAGATGGTATAAAAGGGGGAAGGGTAATAATGAGGTGAAGAGGGGTTAAATACAGTGGGGATGGGAAGGGAGGGGTATAATAGGAATAACAGGGAGGGATAACTAACACTAAACATCTTTGAAAAATCCATATAGAACCTGGACTGAGGCATGGATAATGGGAGGAACTCAACAGTTCAGTTAGTCCAAATTTAAAATATCCAGGTATCTTCTTTCCATTTTAGTTGTATCCTCCCATAAAGATTCTAGGCAGAGGTTCTCAATTATGTGGAAGAACAACAAGAAAACAGGAACCAGAACTGTCTTCTAGTCTTCCTGGACTCCAGTAAAGATATCCTTAGAACTTCTGCTTTGGGGTACCTGACCTACCTCATCACTTTCTACTTCCTGTTCTCATCAATGGGATTGAAGTCTCTGCAAATATCCTCAGACAGCATGATGTCTGATGATCTATGAGTGAAAGCAATCCGGAGATGCTAAGAATACAGAATGCCTACTGAGGAAAAGTTCAGGCATTATGTATAACTCATTTAAGACAGAGGTTATATGGGTGGTAATTAGTAAAGCCTCTGGGTCAGGGCTATACAAATTCTCCTGCTACAGTATTTCCTGGATGCTGGACATGGAACATTATGATCTAATGCTTTTCCTGGTAGCTTTAAATATTGCTTTGATCTAATCACTTTTTGCTCTTTTTCTTATTTACTTTCTTTTTTCTTTCTTTCTTTTACTTTTATCCACTTTAATATAAACAATAGACATAAAGGAACTACATTTTCTATCCCAAGCTTTCTTCTCCCTCCCTCCATGGTCTTGAGCAGATCAAAATGCAGCAGACAGGTATCATATGGAAATTTCTTCCTCTTCCTCTTCCTCCTGTTCCTCCTTCCGCTTCCTTCTCCTCCTTCCTCTTCCTCTTCTTCTTCCTCCTCTTCCTCCTCTTCCTCCTCTTCCTCCTTCCTCTTTCTCTTACTCTCCTTCTCCTTCTCCTTCTTCTCCTTCTCCTCCTCCTCCTCCTCCTCTTTCACCTTCTTTTAATCTAACAATTCCTCTATTTTCTTTCTTAATTTATTCATTTCCCCAGCCCTATCACATTTTCCCCTCCCTCCCACCTCCTCTCCCAGTGCCTTCCCACAACCTCATTCAACATCCACTCCACCTCCTTTCTCTTCAGAAAAGGGTTGGTCTCCCATGTATATCAACCAGACATAGAATATCAAGTTGCAGTAAGACTAGGAATCTCCTCTATTTAATGCTGGATGAAGCAAACCAGTAGTAGGAAGGGGTCCCAAAGCAGGTAACAAAATCAGAGAAAGGCCATGCAACCAATGTTAGGAGCCTCACAAGAAGACTAAGTACACTACTGCAGCATATGTGCAGATTGCCTAGGTCAATCCCTTGTTAGTTGATTCTGTGGGATTTCTTGTGGTGTCATTGGCCTTTCTGGCTCCCACAATCCTTCCTTCTCTTGTTCCACAGGAACTCTCAAGGTCTGCATAGTGTTTGACCATGGGTCTCTGTATCTGATTCCATCAGTTGCTAGATAGAGCCTCTCTGATGACAATGTTATCATTTTATTTGGAAGTACTGGCCTTTTTCTTCTACTTGTCTAGAGGTATCCCAGCTAAGAGTTTGTCTTGAGTCTGAGAGGAGACTTTACACTTGGACTTTTGAGCAATACTACAATAATAATACTATGGGCATTTATAGCAATTAACTAAAAATATTTTATATTTTGAGACACACATGAGAATTTGGGGACCAGATTATAGTTTGGATATTCAGTGTCCCTAAAAAGCACACACATTAAAGGTTAATCTGTAACATGGCACTATAGGAATGTAGTGAAAGCAAGATTGTGACCTAGTGGGAGGCCTCCTAGTTATTGTAATTTCATTGAAAAGATGTCAGGATCATAGGCTTTTCCTCATCTTCAATAATGAAGAAGGATCTGACATATTTTATTGTCTGTTTTCTTTTCCACATCCAAAATGTATTATAAATTAACAAATTGTGGCAATGTCTTCAAAAATATTGCTACATTTTCTTACAAAGTCAAACAAAAATCCTACTTCACAGAAAACTCTGTCAGATATGCTTGGCTTGTAGGTCAAAGATGGATGCCTAATGTTACAGAAGAACTTTGGGTAACTGTCTAGGCAGTCATCTGTTTCTGTAATTTCTCACAATTTTTAGCTGTTGCTTGTATGCTGTTTCTGCTTTCTCGGGTGATATTATTTCCTTCTTGGGTCTCCGATGGAGTTGAAGACTAGATAGTTATAGTTTTCCTTTCTAGCAATTTCAGAAAAGAAACTCACAAAAGAGGTGTAAAATGTATAAGGTTGAAAGACATAAAACGATAGTTTGAGGTTGGTAATTCAAGTTTGAGTAGAAAACGAATTAGATACAACACTTTGGACTCACCAAGATAGACTAGATAACGGAGTATTTTTTCTAAATTTGTCAAATTCCAATAGACTGGAATTTATACACACATATGGTCAAGAATTACACACACACACACACACACACACATGTTGGTTTCATACTTATTGTATATACTTTTTCTATGTTAGTTAAAACCTTTGCTTTTTATTTAGACACAAAGGGAGAAATATTGTGTGATTGTTATGAGAAGCTTTTTCTTTGCTAGCTGCTTTGGTTTATCACCCACTGGTCGCCTGGGCTCTGCCACATTGTAGTCCCCAAATAACACACAAGACGCTGTATTAATTATGAAGCTGTTGCCCTTGCTTGTTTCTTACTGGCTAGCTCTGACTTAAGTCATTACCACATAATTGTTAATCTAAGTATTTCTCTTACCGGAGAATAGTTCCGGGCTTCCTACCCCCATGGCATTACATCTTGACTTTCTTGTGTTTCTCCTTACCAGAGTCCTCCTGGATTCCTAGTCCCTCCTATCTAGATTCCCTATAGGCCAGACAGTGCTTTATTGACAAATGCACAGGACTTCCCCAACATGTGATAGTTTGTTTGTGTTCTGACAAATAAAGCTTGCCTGGAAATCAGATGTCAGGGTTAGCCAATAGTTAACCATAGAGTCACACAATTGTGAAACATGCCTTTAATCCCAGTACCCAGGAGGTAGAAATAGGAAGTGGTAAGGTTTGGTGTAGACACTATCTCAGCCTTTATGGATGGAGGAATGAGACAGGTAGGAAGCAATTGGTGGCTGTTCCTGGTTCTTGGATCTTTCATGTTCTCCCCCTGCCAATATTTGACTCCCGATTCTTTATTGATAAATATTAATTAAATTTATGCTTCACACATATTTGAATGAACACACCCACATGTGTGCGCACACACACACACACACACACACACACACACACACACACCACATACTTACTAAATCACTCACAAACTTCTTTTGAAATTTGGATGCTGCTGATGCTTACTTTTATTTACTACAGTTCCACTGAAGCAGAGAGGTGCCTTTGAAAGTAGTTTTCTTCCATAAGGCCAGTCTGCAAATCCTAGGGCTCACCTAGTCTTCAGAGTATCTTATGAATCCATTCCACTCCAGGCTGAAGAATAAAGTTGGAAGATAAAAACAGAAAGGAAGTAATATTAGTTATAGAGAATGGCTGGTATGTTAAAGATTATAACTAAACACAGAGTACTGTAGATTGAGGAGAACTTGTATTGTTTCTAAATGCCTCCTTGGACTAAACCCAGATCTATAATTTGAAGACTTCCAAGATGTAGTTCAGGAATGTACACATAAACCCTAGAGTGCACCTGTTGTCACTCAGGGGCAAGAATCACCAAATATTAGTCTAGTTACCATTCTTTGCAGAGGAACTAAAGCCTTATAAATGTCACGTTATTAGTCTACATTCAAATTTGAAAATATAATATGAAATATGAAATAAAAATAACTTCAGACTGCACAAGACTAGTACAAATATTTTTACATATGTATATTCTATGTAGTCTTCTACAAGTATGCAGGTTTTTTTCCTAGTTTCAATGTCACAGTATATTTTTCTGTTTCTCTTTCTTAACTTTATAGATATTATATTTTTGTGTATATATATGTACATATATAAGTATGTGTATATGTTCACACAGTATTTCATATTTTGATAAACTACAATTTTATACATTTAGTTCCAGAGTTTTTCTATAGTAGGCAATATTGAGATCGTCATATGTACATAGTTTGATTTTCTTTCTATTAATGTGTTTACATTTTTAGAAATTTTTAAATAGTACTGTCTTGCTTATGACTCTTCCTACATATCCTCACTTGGGACTAGATAACACAGTGACAGGGAAGATGAGGGTGGTAAACAGTGAATAGAAATGAAAATGATAAATTCAATTGCCTTATGTTTGGCATGACAGAGGGCCTCAGTTCTACCAAGGCAAGAACAGAATGAACAATGTCAAAGCAGAGGGAACAGAATTGTGATGCATGCCCCAAGATCATGTAACTGCATAACACATCAACCAAAGATTAGAGAGACCTGGAAAGAGATGACACAACATCTCTCAGGAATTCCTTCCAAAGTTATTTGTATGTTTATGTCATCCCACCACCAAAAAAATTCCAAGCTATTTGGAAAAGGATAATAGAAGGAGCAATCTCTTAGATGAGAAAAGCAGAAATTATAAATCAACTGAGTATTTGTCCTCAAGAAGAGGGAGATAATCTCAAAAAGATGCTTGAAAACCAGAGGAGATTCTGTCACTTCAGGAAAGCTAACTTGTTTTTTCTGTTGTAAGAATCAGGGCTTATTATAACATTTTGTTTCCACTTGGATAGAATAAGTAAGTTTTGTGTATTACTGAATCTTGGTACTCGGTTTATCTGTTATGTGCATTTTATTTATTAAAGACTTACTGTGTTCAGCAATTTCCCAGAAAAGGTTTTTATGCTTCATTTAACTATTCCCTTGGAGTTTTAGTCAGTTTTTTGTTTTTTTGAAAGTGTTGTATACAACACTGTACAATGGCTACAAGTAAGTAAAATGTTTACTTTAAGTCACAAACTACTTTCCCCTACTCTAGCCAAATTAAGTGTTTTTTTTCTGTTGAAATTCAAGAATTTGTTTGGCAACTTGGGTAAGCTGTTTCAATGATTCCTTGCCTCTAAGCTTTAAATTTGAATACTGTTCAATATTAAATACTGGTAAATATCAAATTAAAAAATATTGCCTAGATTATATATTCAGACAAACTTTCACTTCAAAATCTAACTTGTCCTATAGTAAACAGTAGTAAACTTACCAAAGGAGCATATCTTGGCTTTGGAGGTGGAGGAGTCACCTTGCACTGACAGACACGTTTGATCTTAGGTGAGGCTCGAAGAGGCTCACATGGAGGGAGTGGTAGTCTTTCTCTTGATGAAGGGATTCTACCACCCAGACTTCTTTTCCCCCTTTCTCTGAAAGTAGTCTTTTTGGATGATGTTCTGAATCCTCTCTTTAGTTCTGATGTTCCCTTCTTTGAGTCTGTGGATGTGGCATCTGAGTCATCAGTGGTCTTTATAACCTTAAATCCTAATGACCCTTCAGATTCAGTATCTGTGGGTCTTACAGCTCTCCTTATTCCTGCCTTGGAAGATACATCAGATGCTGAATCAGTGTAACTACCTACGTCCTTCATCGAATCTTTCATGGTCCCTTTCTTTTCCTTCTTAGCTTCATATTCAGACTCACTTGCAGTAGAATCTAGAGTCTTCTTTGCATCCTTCTTTTCTCCTTTCTTTATAATTTTCTTATCTCTCTTTTCACCTTTCTTTACTGATAGATCACCTTCAGATTCAGAATCAGCATCAGTAGACTTTGAATCCTTAATAGGCTTCTTCCTGTTCCCTTTAGTTTCCTTCTTTTCATCTTTCTTGCCCTTCTTTGACTCTACATCAGATTCAGAATCAGTATAGAATGCATCCTTCTTATCATCTTTCTTTGGACGTTTCTTTTCCTTATTTGCACCCTTTGAGTCTACAGATTCAGCATCAGTAGATTCTGAACCTTTTTTGTTCATTTTCTTTTCTTTCTTCAAATCCTTGGAGTCACCAGATCCAGCATCAGTAGATTCTGTGTCCTTCTTTTTCTTGACTTCCTTTTTTTCTTTTTTATCTTTTTTTAATTCTTTCTTTGCGTCCTTGGAGTCACCAGATTCAGCATCTGTAGACTCTGTATCCATCTTTTTCTTAGGTTCTTTCTTTTTCTTTCCTTCTTTCTTTGTATCTTTTGAGTCTCCAGAATCAGGATCAGAGTCCTTTTCCTTCTTTCCACTCTTCTTTGAAGGCTTCTTTGCATTGTTCTGTGAGCAATTTGTTGACCATTCATCAACATCTGTGGATTCAGCTGTGAACTCATCGAGAAACATTAAGTCCACACATGAGCTACTTATGCACTCTGTTCTGAAATCAGCAAATTCTTTAGAGCTCTTCTTGAACTCTGTATTTGGATTGTCCTTCCAAAAGAAAGCTTCATCATTGATCTCCTTGAAATTCATTAAATACTCATTATTAGTTCTTGAATATATTTGCATGGTTATCTTGGAATTGTTGGATTCTAGATTTGTTTCTAATGTGACATTTGACTTTTCAGCTAGTTCACTTTCATGTGATGATTTAGATGGAATTTTTTCTGTGTTCATTATTTCAGGTATACCATCGGTTATCATTTTCTTGAATTCCAGATTTGTTGCATATGAGCTTACTTTTTCCTTAAATTTTTTCTTCAAGGTTGTTCTTCTTTTATCATCTTTGGACTTTCTAGTTTCTGCTATTATGTTATTGTTTTGAAGATTATAATGATATTTGAATGGAGCCTGTGTAATGGAAGCCAGGGGAAATGGTGGCCTTAGGAAAAGTTCTCTGAAACATTGGTTTATCCATATACTAGCTGTTTTCTGGCCTTTCTCAGTTTTCATTTTCTCATGCCTCTGAAAAAATTGGGGAGAATAATAATAAGTATTTGTGAATGAGTTATATATTATAATTTGCAGCATAAGATTTTTATCTTTTCATCAAGCATCTATCAAAAAGATGCTTTCTATTTCAAGGTGTGTGTGTGTGTGTGTGTGTGTGTGTGTGTGTGTGCACTGTGATGTATGTTTGGAGTCCAGAGGACAACTTTGAGGTGGCAAGTTCTCTCCTTCCACTAATTGGGTCTAGGGATGAAACTCAGGTCATCAGACTTGGTGACAATCACCTTTACTGACTGAGCTATCTTGCCAGCCCTCAGTTTTCATGTTGTTTCAAGTATTCAGTAAAAGGTCCAACTATCAAATAGTCATAAGATTAAATGATGACTATGTAGGGAAGGATGAAGATTATCATTATACAAATAATTCATGATCATACAATACATACATTGGTTATAACTGATTTGGGAGATACTTTAACATCTTTATGTATCACAATGAATTATCCATGGATACTAGGTTTTCTTTTGCTAACGAAAACCCCACTTTATGGTAGCTCCACTTTAAAGAAGCAATAAATCCTTGAATCTCCCACCATCAAGTATCATGAATGCCAGTTTTAAGAAAACAGGGATGCTCCACATCTTTACAAGATCCCATTTTGAATTCTAAATTTTAGATCTTTTTGAACCACCACTTCTAGACTCAGCCTGTTCATTTTCTTAACCTACCAACTCTGGTGTAGAGAACCATGTACAAATTATGGATGTGTAAGTGTGTGTGTGTGTGTGTGTGTGTGTGTGTGTGTGTGTGTGTAAAACAACAATTACATGAATTTGTAAGAGCAAGGAGGGATATGGGAAGTTTGGAGAGAGGAAAGAGAAGGGAAAAGTGATGTAATTATTGTTTTAACAGTTTTATGCTTTAGTTAAAAACAAATTGGTATAGCTGGTAACATAACTCAGCATACAGTGGTGCTTAATATTCAAGCTGGTTGACATGAATTAGATTTCATAGTAAAGGAAGATAAGCACTTTCTGAAAGCTGTTGTTATGTACCTACATGCCTTCACTCACACAAACACATATTATGCACACACAGAGGCAATAATAATAATAAAGAAAATAATATAAATAATATTCACCAATTTTTATGGAGAAAAGTTATTATAACACAAGACTAAAATGTAAATAGTATATAAATATAACACAACAAGAATACTGTTTAAAAAGATAATATCAAAGCACTGGAGAATTTATGAAAGTTAAGTATCTATACTTAGTGATATTGATATGGTATAATTATAATCTCAAAAATGAAAGAAAAAAGTTAACTTTCAAAACACAGGGGAGCAATTTTTCTATAGAGTCATAAATTTAAATTTATGCTTCTTAATATTATAAATCAAATTATGTTTTCCTTATTTATTTTTATATATGCTGTTATCAGTATATATTTAGTGTTAAAGTAAGTTTTCTATACTTACAGGAACTAACACTTGTAATTCTGAAGATCCTGATCTCTTCTTTATACCTGGCAGAGGTATTTTGGGAAGTGTCAAAACAAAATGTTCTTGATTGAATTTTTCCCCAGTTTCACTGTCTGAGAGGAGAAAAATAAAATAAAAAAATTGGAGTTAATAACTAGACTCTTGTATTGAAACATGTTGTTAAGTAAATTATATTATTTAAGTAAAAGCAAGTTGTAACTCAAAATACAGCTCTTGCCCTTGCAGTTTATCTGAATAGCAATTAAGAAACATAAAACCATTTTCCCACTTAGCATTGGATTATCTTTAACATAATAATTTTTATTTTTATGTAAAATCAATTTTCACAGATTGCTACCTAAATAATAACAAACTACTGTTACAAAATGATGGATATTAAATATAGACAAATTCCAACTGTTTATTTTCAAGTGCTTACATTGTCTCCTCTGTCTTGATTTCTTAATGTCATTTTGGTTATGTGGGAGATAATATGACTACTACTTACGTGATTTCTATAATAAATAGCATAAAATTGAGCATCAAATAACCAGTGAAAGTGTTAATTATCAGAGATGTCTCATAGAGTTTACACCTCTGAATTTCATGGCACCTCCAACCACAGGAATTAGACATAGACATGCAAACAGTCTTGCCCATTCTATAAACCCTATAAGGACATATACATATTTTAGGTTATTCAGAAAATATGAAACTGTATGGAAACTATGACAAAAGAGGAATTGGGAACAAAATATAGGATAGTGTTCCTAGAGAAGAGAAGGATAATGAGATACGTTATCTCTTTTTATATGTATTTTAACAGCTGCTATATGTGAAGGCAGTCACAGTAATAATTGCAGTATAGATGATACTGCTAATAGTTAATGTTCTTTATATGTCAGACTATGTTCTATGACCATCATAATTGTCAACTCAATTCTTGAAAATTCTTTTCAATTTAGATCATGCTATTACATATTATGCTAATGTATAAAAACAACACACTGCCATACGTTAAATCTCTTACTCAAAATCACAAAGCTATTAGACAGTTGAATTAAGACTCACATGCAATTTGGATCCAGAGGCAATCCCTCTACTGAAGTGTTACAATATTCTTTGTACATTTACTGAGGGTAGAGTTGGAACTAATGTAAAAAGGTATGTCACAGTGTGTGTATGCATGTTTTAGTTTAATATATGGAGGAAACCTCAGTAAGCTTGTAGCTTCTCAACAAACGTATTATTTTTTAACTTCTCTCATCTGTAGCTTTAATTGCCTTTTTCACTTTAAGTTTTATAATTGTGAACTTTGAGAACAGAGAGAAGTTTATGAGAGTAAGCATGTTTGCTATATGAGAAGGAAGAACAAACTAAATAAATCTCTTTGAAATCAACTAATAAATACATGCTTCAAAGTCAGAAATATTTCGTACCTGCATATATATGTGTGTGTGTGTGTGCAAGTGTGTGTGTGTGCAAGTGTGTGTGTGTGTATACAAGCATGTGTCAAAATTGCAACAAATTCAGGACAGTTTTTATTCTTAGCAAATTTACTAGGGAGTACTGGCCATTGGTTGCTACAGTGTTTAAAATATAAACAAAAACGAATTTCAAAGAACAAATTCTTACTTAAACTGTAATCATCATTTGTTGTGATGTTTATTTCCTGCCTGTAAAAGATAAAGAAAGCATTTTAACTAAATTTGTGCTATGGGTAATCATCATCATTATTATGCATTATCCTTCAATACTAACACTTGGATATGTTTAAAGCATTTTCTTAGCATCAATTTCTTCAATATAAAGTAAAAACAAACCAAAATAATGAGATGTATTTAAATTTGAAACCAAACTATTCACACTTCTTATAAAAAGGGTTTATCACCCAGAAAAGGTCCATTCCATATTCACCATTGAATAGCTACCATCTTTTAATTTATTTAATATTTACTCATTAATTTATTATTTTTTATATCCTGACCACAGTTTCCACTCCATTCTCAGCTTCCAGTTCTTTCCTTACCGCCATCCACTCCTCTTTTCTCCCCAGAAAATGGCAGGCCTCCCATGGGTGTCAACAAAGCATGGCATAGCAAGTTGCAGTATGAGGAATAGTTTTCCAAAAGCTATCAAAAAGTCAGACAGCCCCTGATCCCCTATTAGGAGTCCCACAAGAAGGCCAAGCTGCACAACTGTATCATATATTCAGAGGGCCTAAGTTAATTCCATGCAGTCTCTTTTTTGTTGGTTCAGTCTCTGTCAGTTCCTATGAGCTCAGCTAAGTTATTTCTGTGGGTTTTCTTGTGATGTCCTTCGCCTCTCTAAGTCCCACAATTCTTTCTCCCCCACCTTCAGCAGGATTCCCTGAGTTCCATCTAATGTCTGACTGTGGGTCTGTGTATCTGTTTCCATCAGTTGGCAGATGAAACCCTTCTGATAACAACTTGGCTGGGCACCAATCTATGAGTATATCAGAATATCAGTAGGCATTATTATTTGACTTTTTTCTCCATTTTGTCCTGTTGACAGTGTCCTTTGCCTTATAGAAGTTTTAAAGTTTCACGAGGTCCCACTTATTAAGTGTTGATCATAGTGTCTGTGCTATTGGTGTTCAGGAAGTTGTCTCCTCTGCCAATGCATTTGAGAACTTTTCCCACTTTCTTTTCTTTTTTCTCAATATATGTTTTTATTTAAATTAGAAACGTGAATGTTTCACATATCAGTCCCAGCTCCCTCTCCCACCCCTCCTCCCTTGTCCCTCTACCAGCCCCCCCAGCCACCCACCCAATCCCCACATCATTCCCCAGGGAGGGTGAGACCCTCCTTAGGGGGGATCTCTAAGGTCTGTCATTTCATCCTGGGCAGAACATAGGCCATTCCCCATGTGTCCAGGCTGAGAGAGCATCCCTCTATTTGGAATGGGCTCCCAAAGCTCATTCATCAACCATGGTGAACACTGATCTACTACCCAAGGCCCCAGTGATTTCTTTGACCTCTTCCCTGGCACTACATTCATGGAGTCTGGATCAGTCTCCTGTTGGTCTCTCAGGCATCAGTCTGGGATTCAAGAGCTCTTTTCTATCCAGTTCAGTATATATGGATTTATGTTGAGGTCCTTAATTCACTTGGACTTGAGTTTTGTGCAGGGTTAAAGACAAGGATCTATTAGCATTCTTTTATCTGCAGACATCACTTAGAGCAACACCATTTGGTAAGGATGCTTTCTTTTTTTTCCCGTTGTACAATTTTGGCTTCTCTGTTGAAAATCAGTTGTCCACAGGAGTGTGGGTTTATATCTGGATCTTTGATTCAATTTCATTGATGTACCTGTCTGTTTTTATGCCAATGCCATGTGTTTCTTGGCTACTATACCCCTGTAGTAGAGCTTGAATTCGGGATATTGATACCTCTGAAAGTTCTTTTATTGTACAGGATTGGTTTACCTATCTTAAGTTTTTGGGGTTTCTATATGAAGTTGAGTATTGTTCTTTCAAGATCTGTAAAGAATTGTGTTGGGGTTTTTATGGGGATTGCACTGAAGCTGTAGATTTGTTTTGCTGATAAAGCCATTTTTTACTATGTTAATCTTATTGATTCATGTACATGTGAGTTTTTTTTACATCTTTTTGTATCTTCTCCATTTTTTGTCTGAAAAAGACTTTTAAGTTCTTGTTATACAAGTCTTTCACTTGCTTGGTATTACTTATGGCCATTGTGAAGGGTCCTGTTTCTCTGATTTCTTTCTCAGCACATTTATCACTTGTATATAGGAGGGACACTGATGTTTTTAGTAAGTCTGTTATCCAACCACTTCACAAAGGGTATTTTTTGTCAGCTGTAGGTATTCCCTGATAGAATTTCTAAGCTTGGTTATGTATACTATCATATATTCTGCAAATGTGATACTTTGACTTCTTCTTTTCCAGTTTATATTCCCCTGATTTCCTTTAGTTATCTTGTTGCTCGAGCTAGAACTACCAGTACTATATTACACAGATATGTAGAGAAAGCGGGCAGCCTTATCTTGTTCCTGATGTTAATGGAATTGCTTTGAGATCTCTTCATTTAATTTGATGTTGACTATAGCTTCCTCTAAATTGCCTTTTTATGTTTATGTATGTTACTTGTATTCCAGATGTCTCCAAGGCTTTTATCATAAAGGAGTGTTGTATTTTGTTAAAGGGATTTTTAGCTTCTAATGAGCTGATAATGTCTTTTTTTCTTTAAAGTTTTTTTATGTTGAATTACATTGACAGATTTTCATATGTTGAACTATCCCTGCATATCTGGAATGAAGAATATTTGGTCATGGTAGATGATCTTTTTGATGTGTTCTTGGGTTGTGCATGAATATTTTATTGAGTATTATGTGTCAATATACTATTCCTGAGGGATATTGGTATGTAATTCTCTTTCTTTGTTGAATCTTTTTGTGGTTTAGGTATCAGAGTGACTATGGCCTTACAAAAAGAATTTGGCAATCTTCTTTTTGGTTCTATTTTGTGAAATAATTTATGAAGTATTGGTATTATCTGTTCTTTGAATAATATCCAAACAGAAATACTAGATTACAAGTGTCTCTGCTACAGCAAGCAGGTTTTACATGTTCTCGGAATTTGAACTTACTTTGTCAGGTTTGTATAGCAAGTACTTTACCACTATGCCATGTCTTAAATAGATAACCATTGTTAATAATATTGGTGATGTCAGGAATTTTGAATTTTAAAATTCCAAGGAAAATAAATAAAAGGAGGTAGCTATATTTTGTATAGTAAATTAAAGCCAAAGCGTGTATGAGCAAAGCAAAAAGTATATATGATAGGAGAAATGAAAGATAAAAGTTTAAGACTAATTGCTTTAAACGTTTAGATGAAATATACAATTCCTTACAACTAAACACATAAAAATTAAATAATGGAAAACAGAAATATGAGACATTATCAATTCATTACTAAATAACTAACCGACAAGAAGAGCTTGAGGTCTGAGCATCTTCGTTGGTCAAATTTTCCTTTTCCCTGCTTAAGAAGAAATAATAATTTCAAACTCTTGAAGAAATAGAAAAAGCAGTGATCAGTGAATGTTAAAATGTGTTAGGAAATGGATCCTACCTTTAGTGTGTCTAGAACAGTGTTTCTCAACCTTTCTAATGTTGGGACACTTTAATAAACTTCCCCATGTTTTGGTGACCCCCAACCATAGAATTATTTTATTGTTACTTCATAACTGTAATTTTCTACTGTTATGCACCATAATGTAAATATCTATGTTTTCTGGTGGCCTTGGGTGACCCCTATGAAAGGGTCATTTGACCCCCCAATTGTTGAAACCCACAGGTTCAGAACTGTTGACCAAAAGAAATAAACCATGATGACACCTCAATTTTAGTTCATTGAAATACATTTCAGATTCCTGACTCCCACAGGACCATGCAGCTGTGTTGTTTAATAAATCATGCTGTCTTTCATAATCCATTAAATTTGTGGCAATTTTTCACAGCAATAACAGAAAATTAATAGAAATCTTGGTATCAGCAAAGGGTGCTATTGCAGCAAATATTTCAACATGTGTTTGGAGTTAGGCAGTAAAAAGAGGCTGGAATCATTTTAAGGAACATGATAGAAAAAGCCAGATTAAAATGAGCACATAGCCAGTAGAATATGTACATATAAAATATTAGTAGTGAAGAGACTAGACTAGATGAGAAGGGGGCTTTCCTATGGTGATCATAGAAAATGCTAAATTTGTCATATAAGACTGCTTAAGTATAAATACTTAATTTTCTGAAGTAATATCTTGGACAATTTCTCCTTAAAGGCTTAAAACTTTTGTATTACTGAATATTAAAATAAATTTCTGTTCTAAGTTATTAAAAAAGTAAAAGTAGGTAGATTATTTATAAAATAGTGATTTCAATGATACTGCTTTTGGAGATCTGAAAAGAAGTTCAAAGAACAGCAGAGAAAGCATGTGTTAAGAAATACTTAAACAGTGAAAACCAGAATCTCATATAAATTTCTTTAAGGAGACTGTGAGGAATTAGAAGCATGTTATTATAGGAGGCTGGAATAAATGGACTATTGTCATATAATGGCAGAGTCACAACTGAATTGTTTTCTACATTTATGCAGTAGTAAATCACATCTTGTAGATGATGAACTGGAATTTAAATAGGAAGGTGTCCTGTGTTTTTCTGATTGTTAAAGTAAAATATGAAAGGGAAGAACGAAGTCTAGGCAAAATCTACTATATAAAACATCCAAGGTTCAATTATTTAGAAAATTCCCATTTAAATTTTAAAAGGATCTAATATTAGTGGACACAAGATCCCACTTCTAATCAAAAATCTATCTTTAATTGACACCCACTTGCAAAGAAAAATTAGTTTTCTGCAATGGAGTATCACTGGGTATATTAACCATACTTCAGGGTAGACCCGCATGGCCAGCATGAGATTGCCTACACAAAACAAACTTAATGACCTTTTGTAGACTTTTGTTTCATATTGCTTTGTTTGGTCACTTTTTGTCTTACTGAGTTTTTTGCTATATATTGATCTTGAATTTTTATGGTTTTCATTTTTGTGTGTCTATTTGTATTTATTGTTTTGTTGTTAACATTTTTATTTTGGTTGTTTGTTTGTTTGCCTGTCTGTTTTCCAGAGAAAGAGAGAGAGAGTAGAGGCGGTGGAGTTGCATGGATGAGGAAGTGAGAAGGACCGGGGGGGAATTGGGATAGGGTACTGAGATTAGAATATATTGTATTTTTTTCAATGAAAAGCAAAAGAAGCTAACATTAAAAAGTTTCTTTACAAGAAGAAGATTCCTCAGGGAAGAATGAAAAGAGTATAGCTATATGATAGTTACTAGTATTGGAGATATTTGACATGAGACTCATGAATTAGTTCAGTCATTTCTGTAAAATCCAAGAATAGACAAAGGATTATGCAAGAAAGATCTGTCTTAAAAGTCATAAATCTTCACAAACATAACCAATCCATACATTTTTGGGAATACTAGGCCACCAGAATTTTTGGAAGAGAAACTGCAGAGAGAGAGAGAGAGAGAGAGAGAGAGAGAGAGAGAGAGAGAGAGAGAGAGAGAGAGAGAGAGAGAGACAGACAGAGACAGAGACAGAGCATAATTAAACTGTCAAAATTTGTGTTAGCAAGAGGTCAAGACTGGGTTAGTAAAACTCACAAAAACTGCTGATCTGTACAAGGGGGATCTCATGGATCCCAGACTGACAGCCAAGAAGCCAGCATGGGACTGATACAGACCTCCTAAATTTGGGTGTCAGTGAGGAGGCCTCAGCAATATTTATCCCTGGCATAAGAATTGACTTGGGGAGCCCATTCCACATAGAGGGATGCTCTCTCAGCCTGGACACATAGGGAGTGCCTAGGCCCTGCCCTGGATGAAATGACAGACTCTAGAGATCCCCCATGGTGGGCCTCACCCTCCCTAGAGAGTGGAGTGGGGATTGGGTGGGGGGGCTGGGGTTACTGATGGGGGTAGGGGAGGAGGGGGGAAGAAGGAGCTGGGATTGACATGTGAAGCAAGCTTGTTTCTAATTTAAATAAAAACTTGTGCTAGCAAGATGGCTCAGAGGGTCAATGTTGTTGCTACTAAGTCTGTTGACCTGAATTCAATATCTGGTACCCACATAAAACCAGAAGGAGAGAGACAACTTCAATTTCCTCTGATGTCCTTATTCATTCACACAGACACACACACACACACACACACACACACACACGATATCAACTGTGGGTAATATATCTTCTCAATATTGAGTTTATAGAGAAAGGGAACTTTCAGGTGTGTTTAGCATTTTCAAGACTGGCCAGAGGTTACACAGCATAGGACATACAAGTATAGGGATCCAGTGCATGTGGCAGTGGAAGCACACAATTCCCAGAGGTACTAAATCCCAGATTTGCCTCTGTAGGGGGGATTGGCCATACCTGTTAGCTACAGCATACCTCTTCCATCCTAAGATGATCCGAGTTAATGCTTTATACCTTGCACCTCTTATATCATATCCACTACCTTTACTACACTGCTAAACTAATAGCACATAGCAATCTCAAGATAGGCAGGACAATATGAGTTATGGACATAACTATTTGAAGTAATCTCTCCTATTTAAAAGTAGAAAAGGAAAGTATTTCCTTTGATTTGTGTTGTTGTTGGATCTTCTATCCCAGCTTCCTTTTTGCAAGTGACCAGAGTTAACTAAGGACATTTTACTTGAAATCTATCTCAACACTTCTGTCTTTCAAACCTTGTGAATGAGAAATTCAGCTGTTGCAAATTTCTTTGTGGGGGGAACTTTCTATCTAGCTACATAGCCTGCCACATTTCCTTCTCTTCTCACTGGGCTTTTCTCCATAACCAGGATTGTAACCCTGCTTCCAGGGTTCTGGTGACCCTCTAAGATTTATGCCCTATTCTAGGGTTGTATTGGCAATTCTAGGCTTTCCATCTCTGGTACACTGGTGGCCTCTCTGATTCTTTTTTCTCTAATATTGAGTTTCTGGAGGCACTTCTTTATTTGTCCCTTTGTCCTACTCCTAGGCTTCTGACCATTGCTTTCTAGGGATCTGTTCTTCCCAGACCTTCTGCTTTCCCTTTCATCCCACATGATAAATCTTCATCCAGTATTTCCTCTCCTATTCAATACAGTGCTTGAACCCTTATCTAGAGCAATATGAAAAGAGAAGAGAATCAAATGGATACAAATATGTATAGAATATGTCAAAGTATCTCTACATTCAGATACAATTCAATATATAAGATACTCTAGGATTACATAGAAAAACATTTAGAGCTAATAAACTCAAGGGAGTAACAGTATACAAAATTAATATACAAAAGTCTGCCTTTCCTATATACCAATGAGAAACATACTGGAACAAATACCAGGGGAAAATTCCATTCTTAATGGTACACACACACACACACACACACACACACACACACACACACACACACACACACACACACACCACCCCTGGAAATAAACGTAACCAATTGTGTTAGTGAGTTTTTATTGTTTGCTTGTGAGATATTGTCTTTTTTGCTGATTGGTGTGGAAGGACCAAGGAGTGGACCAACCCACCATCAGTAGCAACTTTCCTAGGCACATAAATCTAAGCTGTATAGGATAGCTAGCTAAGCATGAGCCCAAAAGGAAGCCAGTAATCAGCATACCAATATGGTCAATGTTTCTGTTTTTGCCTCTAGGCTCCTGCCTTGAGTTCCCGCTTTGGCTTCCCTAAGGGATACATTATTACATTGAAAATTTCAGCTGAAATAAACCATTTCTTCTACATGTTGTTTTTGGTCAGAATATTTTATCACACTAACAGAAAGCAAACCAGATGCCAAGGAAATAAAAGATCTCTACAATAAAAATATTAATATGTTGAAGAAAGAAATCCAATAAAACACTGGAAGATGGCAAGGCCTTGTCTGCTCTTTATTTAGACACTTTAGTGTTATGAAAATGGACATTCCACCAAAAGAAATCTACAGGTTAATTCAATCTCCATGAAAATCCCTGTGTAATTCTTTACAGACTTAAAAAATAATCAAAGTTTATATGATGGCACAAATGATAGAGGCAGAAAGATTTAGACAAGTAGTAGAGTGATGGGGATAAGGAAATGAGGGTGCAGGAGAAGTCTTAGTTAAAATAAAGCATTGTGAAGAATCTATATATAAACCAACAATATTGTTACTCAAGTTAAATGTATGAAAGGCAGCAGTAAACCATATGTGATGTGACTGGGAGTGGCAATAACGGGGCTAAAATTTAACATGGGAAAAAGGGGTTAGGGTACAGGGCAAGCAAAATTAACAATTCTTATGGCAACCTACTAGTTTATAAACTGATTAAAAACTTTTAAAATTAGGTTGAACATATGCATCCCACATGAATGAACAATGTTGCTTCTGGAACACCATGTTGTTAAATGACAATTTCAGTGCCAGGCATATGTTACTTCCCTACTGGT